AGTGTCCCGCTGAAACAGTTTAGAAATCTGTGAAGCAACTTTATTTCCATTGCTTAGTGAGCAACATGTTTGACCATGTGTAAGGCACTGACTTGTACTAATGTTGAACTTAACATGAAAAAACAAAACTTACTTCATTGCAAACTAGTCAAAATAATGGAGTATATATTCATTCTTCACAGGTATGTAGCACACTGTAACTTTTCATTCTCTGGTACTTACTGCTATGACCTTTATAATACTCCAAACCAGTCAGAGGATTTTGAGATACAAAAATCATTTCTTATGCATGCAGGCATCTTTTCCAAAGAGAAGGGTGGGGGAGGGTCTTACCTCCTTTGTTAGCAAACACTTTAGTATTTGCCCTAGTTATGCAGAAATGGACCACAACTCAGGATCATACGGTAGGAATTTATTAAGCAAACAATTTTGTTCATACCAGGAGGACCAGCAATTAGGTTATAAATGAGAGCAGGTGCAAGAACTTACAATTTTAGAGCATTCCATTAGAATGTCTACTGCCCAAATAGGCCCACAAGCGGTGCTCCATAATGCTGGTTATCATTTTATGCTGCACTCCCTCTGAGAAAATGATGTGACCTGCAGAGGTGGGAATGCACAGAGGGAGTCTCCTTCCAAGAGGAAGCTGGGAAATTCAATCCTGCTGTGTATGTTTGTTCGCTCCTCAGGAATCCCAGCTTGGCCAGTTGATTCCAGAGAGCCAGCTTCTCACTGCACAAGCCTGATTCCCAATGACAAGAAACAGCCATTTAATGTGCACAGAAGTGGCTTTGGGACACTGCTTTGTTATTATGCATACAGAAACCAATTTTAGCCATGAAAAGAAAATCTAAAATCTGTACAAGCAAGTTTTCAGAACTTCCTGGAGAACTAATATAGAGAATAATTTTCCATTTCTATAACCATCTTCCAAATTCCCACCATGAGTGCTCCATGGCAAAAGGCAGGCAGCTTGAAAAGTGAAGACCAAACTTTTACACAGATGTAGTCAGTGAGGAGGGATGCACAGGTGCCAAATAAAAGAACAAGTCAGGAACTGTTACTTTGTGCATAACATGAAGTCAAGTCATTAGGTCAAAATAGGCAGGACTGACCTTCTGAAGAGGCTTGGAAATGTGGGACTTGCTTAACTCTCATTAAAATGCTAGGGTAGCTCTCAAATGTGAAGGAGAAAAGGCATAAGTTGGGTCCTTCTTAGTACACCATGAGGTCAACAAGAGACCTGTTTTGAACAGCTAAGAGCCAAAAATAAAAATTGGTCATTGAGTTCTAAGGCAATCTAAGGCTTAGGTCCCTCTAAGAATCTCTGTAACTTTAGCAGGTACTGTTGGAAAGGCTGTTTCAAAATCAGCACAGTGCCAGGAAAAGAATATAGCCTCATGGTCAAAATGTGCCTCCAGCTCTGCCTGACATTAACTAGCTGGGTGACCTTGGTCAATCCATGGGTCTTGATGTAGAACCAGGGTTGTTAAGGGCTTCCAGACAAACCAAAGGGTCCTCTTCATTGCTGTACCTCCAGTGTCTAGAACAGTGCCTGGCACTTGTGAGTGTTGACTGAAGGAACCTAGGTTTGAATCTTCATTCTGTCACTTACAAAAGGAGGACCTCAGGAACTTTTATGAAATGAAGATGGTAACTGCCTCATGAGATTGCTTTAAAAAGATGGACATGAAGCATTAAGACTAAGTTAGCTCATAATTATTATATAGTATTCCTTACATTTATCTCCTTTCAGGACATTTCAGTTTTGTTGAAGACACCTTTTGTGGTGTGCAGCCAGCAAACCGTGGTGTCCACAAGATCTGACTACCAACCCACAGGCGTAAGCCCCCAAGAGCCACATTTCTACCAATGGGCTGGTCCCATGACTCTGTTTGGTTCTGTCTACATGTGTCTGGAACAGTTAACATGTAACACCTAGAGTTATGGGGTAGCTACAGGAAGAGCAAAGCTGTTAGGACGATGTGGATGTACTGATAGGAAACAATACCAAAGCAGGAGTTGAAAATGGCTTTCTAGTTCCTGGATCCAATCTCATTCTGCCTTTGAGAGTCTGTGAGAGCATTCTGTATCCTTATTTTTTGCTCGTTAGTACTGTATGCTTATTATTTATAAGGCTTTGTTTTCCTATTTTCTCTGATCCTCACAATATTCCTATAAAAGATGATATAGCATAAGAATGAACACAAGAAATCATACAAGCATGACCCTGCCATATATTTTCCTGTTAACTTTTGAGTTAATGAACCTGTTTTCTCATAAATTAGGGGAGAAACGCCTTTGTTTTAGGCCTGCTTAGAAGACACAGATAATTAAAGTAGGGCATCTAACAAAAAGTACTCAACAAATTATAGCTCCTATTACTACCCCATTTTACAAAGGAAAACTGTGGCTGAGAAATATTGATATCCTTTCCACTACACCACACTGGGAACAGAAACAGGAACATTCATTGTCTTAACACAGAAGATCATTGAAAGAAACAGTGGTAAACTTGTGACTTGTTAATGCTCTGAACTTTGATTAAGTGGAATTGTGCACTGACTTGATGCAAATACTTAATGACAGCTTTGCTCATAACCTTTCAAGTACCTTGGCTCAGACTACACTAAGTTACTTTCCCAGATCTCTCTCCCCCCTTGGGCAGAAAATATATTACCACTTCATGTGTACATTCTATCCTGCTTGTCAGTTTTACATTTCTTCTGGTTTTTGTGAATAATTTTCTCCAAGGTGGACCATGTATTGGGCATGTCACACTAGCTCCTTAGGAGGCACCATTCCACAAAGCCCACGCAGCAGGGGCCTACGATGTGACCTTTCCTGAGCTTGTGAATTTGTCATTGTCTTATTATCCCTTATGTCCTAGAAATGTGCACCTGTAACTCTTTGGAACTACAGAAGTGTCTAGGTCAATGGCCTCAACCGTGTCTGCAGGTCTCAAACTGCATTGTACAATCATCAGGGATGCAGGCGGGGATAGGGCTGTAAAAAATTAACGCCCGGGACACAAGCCAAAGCAAGTAAGTCATAATCCCTATGGGGTGGGACTCAGGCATTAGTTTGTTTTCTCTTGAAGCCTCTCAGTGATTCTAATGTGTGTCAGATGGACAGTGGCACAAAACTGCAAGCCAAGACTGATTGCTAGCATTTCAAACTTGAAAAAATTCACCCAAGTGTTATTTCACAGGCTCCTCTCAGGGCCCACTTGGCTGAGGATAGTCTATCAAAATATTTACCTGGCTCTTGTAGACATCTGGGTTTGAGACTTCTGAATTCCTGTGGTAATGAAGTTATGCTTTTGATATCGTTATAGCTGCTAGATATCACTGCTTGGTTAATTTATTTACTAATTGGCCCCCACTCTAAAAATGACTCTAAAATGCATCTCTATGGTTTAATCATATTCTGAAAACTGCTTTTCAAAAAAATCTATTATTTTTCCCCAGCCTAAATGCTATTAACTACTAGAAAGACCAACAGCTGTCTTGAAAATTGGATTTAATTACACAAAAAAGCAGTAACGTGAAGCTCAGTTGCCTCACTGTTTACTCCTACAGTAGGAACAGTTGCATTATGTCCAGTTGAGCACTCCCAAATTAGCTATTTCATCTTGGGTGATTAAGTGGAAAAATAAATTCCCTAAAATAAATCAGAAACACACAAACTTTATCCCCAAGGACCTGAAAAAAAAAAAAACAAAAAACCTGAAGGGCCCATACTTTTTCCTGTGGCTGAAGGAGCCAAGATTTCCCCAAAATGCTCACTACTTCTGTTCTTAAAGTCCCACAGGAGAAATGCTGAGAACAAATGGATTTCAGCTGTTCTGTGTTTCACTAGTTACAAAATAATCCTGTAACAAGTTGCAAACGATTATTCAAAATTCTTTACATTGGATATTTATTTGAACAAATAACTAGACCAACAACTGCAAATTTCTTGGCCACTATTTATCAAATCAATCGATGCTGAACAATTTCCTCTCAACTATCACATGTGACAGTTTTCTAATGAGCATTCTTCCAATTGGCAAAATGGGAAGGGCTATATTCATCTTGCATGCCTAGTTTCTTTTGACTAGGCAAAACAGAGCCACATCAGTTGCAAACTCTGAACCAAATTAAAGATCAGAGATAGTATATAGCATTCCTCTAACATTAGCAGCAATAGGCATATGTATACATATATGTAGTCTTTGATGTAGTTTAATAGTACAACACCATAGCAAAGAACCACCTTCCCTGGTACTGAATGCTAGGCCATTCTGAGACCAGATTACGAAAATATGATACAAAGAGGTAGTACAATGTTGATTGAATCCCAGACAGAATAAATTGTGAAATCTTGGGCAAGTTACTTAACCTCATTAAGCCTTATTTTCTTCTTTTGTAAAAAAGAGCAATTCCTATCCCACTTGCTTAAGCTGGTAATATAAGATAAAGTGCTTTGAAGATAAAAGTGATAAGTGAACTCATAATTATAGATCCAAATAAGACCAAATTAAGTTGTCCTAAAATCTGGACTTGGCTAGAATATCATAACAAAAATCTCCAACCCGAGACCTTGTTTAAGAAAATTCTCTCCATTCCCTTTAGGAGGTATCAGCTTATAAGAGTGAATAAATCTAAGTAATCAGAATTTAAGTTGAGAATGACTTAAAATATTTTATCTTTAAAAAATTGACAAAGATCTACTAAGCATCTAATATGTATCACTGTTGCAACACGAACAGCAAATTAAATTCAATGGTCAAGTCAGAGAAATTGGAAAGCTTTCAGAAAATGCTCTGAAGGCTACATTGACCAAGTTAATGATTAACTGTTGGGGATGGTCTCATTCACGGTTCCCCGCAAAGAAACTGAACCAAATCTTAACATCTTATATTAAGTAGGAACAGTGAATAAGGCACATAATACAGGTGATTGTTAGGTCACCAGTTATGTTTTTTTAACTATAAAAATAAACATAGGTAACTAATGGAATAACAAAATAAAAGTTTATTTTATTAGAATTAGGAATGTTCTTTCCCTCTGGGCAACCTGAACAGTCCAGTTACAATGAAAATCTAAGAACAGTTATTTCCACAGCACAGGGCGCTCTATGCACAAAATTACAGGGTTAGGAGCATTTAATAAATTTACCAATCTGATTGTCTCACCAACCCACCCCCTCCCACCCCCAAGTGCTCTATACCCAGGATTTGCAACTAAAAGAATTTGTTACATCAAGTTCTTTTCTGTCTTGTACTAAATTTCAGTTCCTAATTACGGCTGAATCACATTGTACACTGCAGATTCAACCATTTCAAATCAAGTCAGTCAGTTTTGGATCTGTTATATATGTGTTTATGTATACACATGTGTATTTAATTATTTATTTAAACACACATAAAACACATACAATCTGGGTCGCAGCAAATTACACAGAATTTAGTCTGATAATATTATATGCTACTCAGTTTACCACTGTGGTTTGTGTCCTGAGCTTTGGATCAAAATTTTACTATAAATCATTTAAAGTCCATCTACTGCTCAATGAATTGTTCAAATGAAGCATGCACTTTTCAAAAGACAATGTAACTGCCCTCAAGAAGACAGGGAGACCCTGGTGCTTACCACGAATAGAGCCCTCTTGATAGACTTAGGTAAGTGAAATGGGGAAGCTGTCATTCAATATGGCTTGCCTGTATCTCAGCTGGGGGTCACTGAAGCTACTAACAATGAAAGCATTGAGCTCAGGGAATACTGTCAAATATGGAGATAGTTGTTAAAAGATTGGAATTAAAAACGGTCAGTTCACCTTGATTCACACAAGTTAGGGAACGCACCCACAACTGCAATACCCTCAGATAATATGCTGAGGCAAACTAGAAAGCATCTCTAAAAAGCACTGCTCCTCCACGGGTAGGGGCTGATACTCTGAAGCGCACACACTGTATTTGGATACTTGTTACAGGGGAGTGCGTAATGACACAAACCTAGATACTGCAGTTAACTGGTTAAAATTTTCTTAAAAACACCACACATACACAAAACATTCTGATTAAGGGAGCCACATATATCTTGATAGCAACTCTGGCTGCTTTTCAAAGTTACCAGGGAAAGGAACTTATTCAAGCTTTCTTCAAAAAAAAAAAAAAAATCCTTAGTTTGATAAATGCCTTTTAAGATTGATACAGTCATTTAAAATAAAGTTAAATGGATGTCAGGGGAGAGGAGGACATGGAAGAAGCAGACGTTGAGTTCTGATCTGCACCTGAGGTGACAAGGGGGAAAGGATTAAAGGTACAGGTGAAGTTGATCCTAAAGCGACAAGAGGTTTAAGGAAGCAGCATAATATACTCAGGAAACATTCACTAATTTTTGATGGGGAAAAGAACAGTTGCAAGTACATCTCATGTAACAACCTTTTCTAAAAGGAAAAGTGGGTTGATTCAGGAAAGCCTAACTTAGGCAAAAGGCCAGAGGAAAGTGAACCTACTTCCCAATGGAGTAATACGATGTACACTGCAAGAGCAGGCAAAGCCGCCTCAGAACAGGTAAACCCTCCCTAGGCGCAAGACAGTAAAAGGAAGACAAAGAGGTCCTCAACCCAAACTGGTATTTAATAGTAAGACCTCTTAATCTGGTTGCCGATTCACCCTGCACTCCTGTATAAAACTGACAGATTGAGGGATGCTGACCTGTTGAAAAATACCACAGCCAGAATGGCCTAAACAGGTATATAATTAATAAAACCACCACCATCCTTTACTTTTAACATAGCTCTTAGTAGAAATTTCATAAAAATGGACATCACAGCTAAAATGCATCATTAATTTTCCTATCTGTTGACAATGAAAAGAAGCAAAGTCAGTGATTTCTGTGCACTAGATGGGAATATCATGTTCTAGGGATGTCTGTCTTCAAACTGAACCCACAGCAACACACAAGCAATTTTAATATCTGCCATATTAAATTCACAATCTGAAACTAAGTGAATGGTTATTTATTTATATTTATATTTAAAGCAAAAACATTCTATTTGATACCCTAATGTAAAGAAAGGGTGAGAGAAGAGCCATAACCAAAATCTTAAAAGGCTCAAAGCAGCAATTAAAGGAAAAAAAACGAAATGTTTCCTCTGGATGGATAGGGAGCACAGGAAAGCCTTCACCTGTGCATGACATGTGCACACAAAGGCTTGAGTAAGATACATGAGGCCATGAAGGGGAATGAAGCGGGGACTAGGTTACTCTTGCACTGTGGCAACTAAGCTCCCTGTTGCAATCCTTAACCAGGCCATAGTGTTGTTGGGGCTTGAACTCCCTTGCCCTGATCAAGCACTGGGCATGAGGCCCATGGCCAGCAACAGACATGTAAAAACCAGAGGGCAAAGTAATCTCAGGAAAGGGAAATCAAAGAGTTCTTATGTCTTCCAGAGGTACTAAACCAACAGTTTTTTTTTTAATCCCAACCTTCAACCGTGGAAAGTTAAAGAAAACGGAAAGAAAATGCACAGCAAATAGACATAATGTTGAAGATTTTTAAAGAATAAATATTTTCTGTAATTAAACATTATGCAAACACGTGCCACGCTTGCTTTGTCCATGCATATGCGCTATATACAATTTTGAAAAATACTGTGTTGTCCTCTTGTTTTAAAAGTCATATACAAAGTTTTTTTTTTTTTTTTTGTTTAATTCTTGCTGCCTACCCACTTCCCGCCCCAAGAATTTTCTTTACAAGGAACTAAACATCATTCACTCATGACCTTGGGGTGTGAGAGAGAGACTCAATCTCTGCGTGTGGGTGTATGCGTGAGTAGAGGAAGGGGAAGAGGTCCTTTACCAAAGTACAACGAAATGGCTGGTTTGGGCATGAAAAGCAGTGTCAAAGACCTGTTTTAGATTTTAACTGTACTACACTCAGGAAAAAGAAAAGAAAAGAAGTCAGCTTTGAGAATGAAGCTACGTTACAAGTTAAAGTTGGAGGGCTTTTAGTGTGTCTGTCACACTTTGGCGGCCTAGAATACTGTTGTACAATGGTTTATCTACCTTTTTTTTTATTACAATATAATTTACTTAAACTTTCTGTTAACAAAACAGAATTCTGGTACTACAGACCAGCAGTATCAGAATGGGCTTAGTGCCTCCTTGTTTGTGTTTGTTTTAATTGCATGAGCACTCTAGATGGTAAAATTTTCAGAGTTCATTTTATGCAGGGTCATTTTCAGTCCTCAATGTACTCCCACAGATCTTTTTCATAGCCTTCATGAACATGCTGTAACAAAACCCTTCGTCGACTCTCACAGTATCTGTAATCAAAGAAAAAAAAGAAAATGTCAGCCTCCAATTAAAAAAAAATCATTTACTTATTTTTAGGGCACCCCTACATTAAGATTTGGAACTAAGCACCTGTTTTTAATAACACATTTGCAAATAACACATTTGCAGGTCTACTATTTCTAATTTTTTTAAAATATTTTATTTATTTTTCAAGAGAGAGGAAGGGAAGGAGAAAGAGTGGGAGAGAAATATCAATGTATGGTTGCCTCTCATGCGTCCCCTGCTGGGAAGTGGCCTGCAACCCAGGCATGTGCCCTGACTGGGAATGGAACTGCGATACTCTGGTTCACAGGCCCGCGCTCAATCCACTGAGCTACGTCAGCCAGGGCTACTATTTCTAATTTTAAAAAGGTGTTCTTTAAAAGCCATGATTCCCAGGTTTGGGCAATTTTAGAGTAATAAAATGTTAGAAATTCCTAAAGGCCTTAGAAATTACTTGATTCAATCCTGTCATTATTGTACCATAAGTAAACAGTTTCAGGAAAAAATAATTCCCAGGGTTATTTATTCACATTCATAAAATCTTTGTTAACTGTGAAATTACCATAAACACAATGTAGCTGGCTAAGGGATGTAAAAATATTACTCAGGACTAACTCTCCAAGATTTCCAAATTCCCAAAGGTTTCTACCACTATTAAAAAGATTAGTATTAGTATTTCCCAGGAAACAACTTTGGAGGAAAGATCTCCATGCTGAGAAAGCAAACATTTTGCATTCTTAGCTTAAGAAGTAGCGTATCTTGCTGGTGTATCATCTCTCCACACCATGCCCCTTTCCTTTCTTGGAGAATGAATAAAAACTTTATTCTCTACACTTCTCTTTGTGATTCTTTCACATCTCACGTCACCAACCACCCTAACATTTTGGTGACCTGTAAGGGGACATTTTCTATTTCTCCCTCTCCTCCAGCCTCCTGAGACTTGAGACTAGGGGGGAGCAGTGGGGAGCAGAAGCTCAACCTGAGCTAACCCCCAACCCTGTCTCTGTGAGGTTCAGAGAGAGGATTCTAATCATTCTCCATCTCTCCAGACTCTGCAGACAGCCTCCTCCTCATCCATCTTCACGGCCAGTGAATGATGTAAGAAAACTTGTTTTCTCCCTAGGACAATTTGTAAATTATACCCTCATAAGCAATACTGAAACATTTACATTTTTTTCCCTACCGAATCCCTCCAGAATTACTGAAAAGCAAGAACAGAACCACTCCCTAGAGCCAAAGGCACAATATAACACTGGAACAAACTGCAGCCTCATGATACAATGACCCCAACAGCCAGTTCCCTACTCCTTTTTAATCCAATTATAATCCAATAAAAACTCCAAGTTCCCACCCCTCAATGTTGGAGTATCTCTCCACACCACGCCCCTCACCTTTCTTGGAGAGTGAATAAAAACTTTTTTTTCTACCAAAGAAAAAAAGTAGTAGTAGTATATCTTGAAATACCATCTATCTTTAGGGTAAAGTAAATCTCTCCTGGGGGGGAAGGGGGAGACCTAGTAAAAACTCTACAATAAGCCTGAGTAGTTCACTCGTCAATAGCCATGACTGCAGGACCCCCTGGCTGTGTCCAGCATGCTAATCTCAGCCAGCATCCTAACAGCCACCTGCCCTTTTTAGGCTTTTGCAGGGCAACAGGTAAACAGCTAAGGTTGAAAGGAAGAAGCTGGCGGGATACATAGCAGATTTCCTCTGCTATGTTTAAATAGCAGTATCCTATCTGCAAATTGTAGCCCAAAGGACAGAAGTAATCTATGAGAAGCATAGCAGCAGCTCAGTTACTGGATATACTAAACCCAAGTTTCACTATTACCTGACTTCACCACTAAGGCATACCAGACTACAATGGCAGAATCTTTTGCTCAAAAATTATTTAAAAAAAAAAAAAAAAAAAAACAACTCACCTGTACTTATCTTGTACTTTCTGCTTTATATCCTGTAGAGAATCTTGGGAAATATCTCGTTCAAGGTAGCCCGAAAGTACCTCTGTGGCATTCTCTAGATCTGCTTGGTTATTCTGCAAGAGGAGGAAGATACATAGTAAATTTTGGCTTCAAAAGAAAGCTGAAAGATAAAACATCTTAGCTGCTTCCTTGCCTAGACTGCTTTCAACAGATTCCATAATTTCCACAGGTTGTTTTCACTATATCTGTAAAGCTATTGTTTTTGCCTCTAACCACTTGTTCTCTTTTCAAGGACAATTTGTTAAATGTTAAAAAAACTGAAGATTCACTGATTACCTCTGAAAGAATATCAAGGACAATTTGAAAGGACTTAAAATTAAAAGTCTTTAGGAATCTTTTAGTTCTGAGAACTGCTATTTGCTAAAACTAAAAGGGAAACTTGAGAAATAAACTGAAATCCATTTTTTCTTACATCAGGATGCACCTACTTCTTAAAAGAGAACACTGGATGGGAGATTAAAATTTTATCTTTTACTACTAAGGGCTAGTTCTGTACGTTTACCCATCTAAATTCCCACATGCTGGTCAGTATTACTGTCTAGTCATCTGTTGACGTTAATGTTTCATGCCTCAATTTTAAATGAACATATCTACTTGAAAACCTTTACTGCTTAATGCCCACTTTAGCCATTACATAACCACCATATTAACTTCTAACATCTTATGTCAGTTTACCTTAAAAAAGGCTTTTATTAAGATTATTAAGAACTGTAATGTGCCAGGTGCTATATGTATGAGCAATATACATGGACTGGCTCACTCAAACTTCATAATGTCCGAGAAAAGTATTATCTCCATTTTAAAACAGATATAGAAGAGGTTAAGTAATTTGCTCCAAGTCAACAGAGCTAACAAGTGATGAAATCAAGATACAAATTCAGGGCTGCCTGCAGAGAACCTGCACACTCAATCACTAGCTGTCTAATACGTATCAATTTGAATGTAGTTTAGGACAAGAAATTTAAATTTATTTTCCCAATAAATACTGTATTTCCAATCCACATTTTCTGAGCAGATAGGAACCTTTAAAACAATGTATCTTCTCTATGAAAGACCAAGAACTCCTATGGCACAAGGTGGGCCTTTTCCCACTCAGTACTATTCCTACCTCAAAGATAATGGACTGGTTATTCTTTTTGAGGTAGAAAGCGAAGACATAAGTGTACATGAGTGTGGCACGACACTGGCAGAGGACATCAACTGCTTTCTTCAGGAACTGCACCTCAATCCAGGACATGTTGTGCTGTTGCATCTCCTCCATTTTCTGCTTCACCTGAGCATACAGTTTGTGCTCAAAGCGCAGACTTTGCATGTGGTTCATGTAACGGTTACAGTAGAACAGGTACCTCTGCAGGGCTGCCCTAGATCGCTGTCCATTAAGAAAAATTAAGGTTACATAATTATGACAAATGTATTATATATATGAACAAAGCTGATACCATGTTTGCTGATGAAACGGTACAGGAATTTGGCTAAAATCATGAATAAACAGATATCTACTGCTAGCTTTATTATTTAACACTGCTTTGAATGTCCCATAGCTATACTTTCCAAAATGGCAGCCACTATAATCATGTGGCTATTTAAAATAAAAAATTCTGACTTCCAGCCAAGATGGAGGCATAGGTAGACACACTGTGCCTCCTCGAACAACCAAAATAAGGACCATAATTCAGAAACAGGCGCCCGCTCGTCCGCAGGGCACCGCGCTGCCCGCGCTCCCGCTAGCTGGCACTCAGGCCGGCGTCCCTGCGCCACCCGGACCGGATCCGGGGCAAAGGAGCAGGGCGCCGGCAGGGGGCGCCTCACCCCGGCGCCTCCAGAGCGTCCCGGGCCCGCCTCCTGGACGCCCCCGCTCGATAGAAGCCTCTCCCCATCCCGCCCCTCCTTCCCTGCCCCACCCCAACCCCAGGATGAGCGGCCCGACGGCGCTGTGAGACTCCGGCTGAGTGTCCGCCAGCACCTGGGCGTTGAAACCCAAGAGGTGCTATGTTGCTTCAAGTGCCCCTTGGCCCTTGATCATGAAAATTCATCCACGTGGGATTACAAGGGTTTAAAGTAAGAATCTGCTACTTTTGGACTTCCGCCAAGATGGAGAAGTAGGTGGAGGGTCCACCTCGCCTCTGTGCACAACCAAATCTAAGAACAACTATTTTTAACAGCAGTCACAACCAAGCCACACGGAAAATCGACAATACGGAGTCCAAAGGACAACTAGATACTCGGCTGGACCGGTACGAGGAGCGAGGCCAGAAGCAGAGCAGGTTAGCAAGAAAAAATTCCCGGGGCGTGGGGCGCGCAGGCAACCGAGGGCTGATCGCCAGCGAGCTGGCTGCCGGAGCGCACAGGGAATAGGCGCGGTGGGTCGCTCAGTCGCGCGCATTTACGTGCGGAGAAACCAGTGAGAAGGGAAACCCGTGCGGTGCAGCAGGCTCGCAAAATTAGGATCGGATAAGCAAGCCCGAGGCGTTTGAGTGACTGGATGCGCTGGGCTAGCGGAGAGGAACGCCATTGCTCCCTCTCTGACCCCGCCCCCACACACAGCGTCACAAACCAGCGACCTGGGTCGCCCCGTCCTGGTAAACAACTAAGGCTTCGCTCCGCTCACTAAACAGCACGAATAAACCAAAAATGGCTCTAGAACAACTCAGAGCCCCAGAACCGATAGACCTAAGTGATGAAGAAATAGCCAGTCTTTCAGATGCACAGTTCAAAACACTGGTTATAAAGATCCTTACAGAACTGGTGGATTTTAGTCACAAATTAGAGAAACATATGGAAGCTAAATTAATTGAAATGAATGCTGATACAAAAGATACCAATAGTGATGGAAAGAAAATTGGGACTCAAATCAAGGGAGAGGACCAGACAGAAGAAAAAGATGATCAAGCAGAAAGGAATGAAGAAATAAGAATTCAGAAAAATGAGGAGAGGCTTGGGAAACTCCAGGACATCTTTAAACGTTCCAACATCCGAATTATAGGGGTACCAGAAGGGGGAAAGGCACAACCACCAGTTGAAACATTATTTGAACAAATAATAAAGGAGAATTTCCCCAAGATGGCAAAGGAAATAGACTTCCGAGAGATCCAGGAAGCTCGGAGAGTCCCGAGGAAGTTGGACCCGGGAAGGAACACACCAAGGCACATCATAATTACATTAGCCAAGATTAAAATGAAGGAGAGAATCCTAGAAGCAGCAAGAGCTAAGGGGACAGTCACCTACAAAGGAGTTCCCATCAGACTGTCAGCTGATTTCTCAAAGAGACCTTACAGGCAAGAAGGGGCTGGAAAGAGGTATTCCAAGTCATGAAAACCAAAGATCTACAACCAAGATTGCTCTACCCAGCAAAACTTTCATTTAGAATGGAAGGTCAGATAAAGTGCTTCTCAGATAAGACCAAATTCAAGGAGTTCATCATCACCAAGCCCTTATTATATGAAATGTTAAAGGGACTTACCTAAGAAAAAGAAGATAAAAAAGATGAACAGTGAAAGGACAGCAAACTCACAGTTATTAAGAACCACACCTAAAACAAAAGCAAACTAAGAGGATAGCTAGATCAGGAGCAGAACCATAGAAATGAAGACCACAGGGAGGGTTAGCAACAGGGGAGTGGGAGGAGGGGAAGGGGGGAGAAGGTACAGAAAATAAGTAGTATAGACAGTAGATAGAAAATAGATAGGGGGGAGGGGTAAGAATAGTAGGGGGAAATACAGAATCTAAAGAATTTGAGACACATGTTCATGAACTAAAGGGGGAAATGGTGGGGGAGGGTTATGCAGGGTGGAGGGGAAGGGAGGGGGGAATAGAGCAAATGTAATGGCATAATCAATTAAAAAAAAAAAAAACAGAAACAAAGTAACAACCAAAACTGAAAGAAAATTAAACTCCATGGAAGTCCAACAACCAAGGAGTTAAAATAGACACATTCATCCAGACCAGTAGGCCCGGCACAGTCTGGCAGTTGAGCAGAGAGGGGTCTCCGCACAGGAAGTGGTGACACCAGGCACGCAAGGAGGTACCGAGCAGACCCTGGGCACACAGGTGGCAGCTGGCAGACGCTGGCAGACCCTAGGCATGGGGTGGCAATGGGTAGACCCAGCAAGGCAGCAATGGAGAAGTGGGGCACCATGTGCAAGGTGGCTGGCTGACCGTGCAGCAGTCCCACATTCGCACATAGATAACTGGGGAGAGAGACAGAACGCACAACCCAGGGTCCTAGCGCCTGGAAATAAAGCCTCGAAACACCAATTGGAAACACTTGTGGGGGTTGAGGCACAGGGAGAGACTCCCAACCTCACAGAAAAGTTCACTGGAGAAACCCACAGGGTCCTAGAATGCACACAAGTCCACACACAAGGGAATCAGCATCAGAAAGGCCCAATTTGCTTGGGGGAAGGGGCGGAAGAGACTGAGATGCAACAGAGAGCGGAGCAAAGCACCATTTGTTTTCCCTCTCTGACCCCGCCCCCACATACAGCATCACAAACCAGCGACTTGGGTTGCCCCACCCTGGTGAACAACAAAGGCTCTGCCCCTCATACTTAAGGGGTGTGAACAGATCAAAGCATTATGGCTCAAGCAGAAAAAAAGCTCAAAGCCCCAGAGCCAATACTTCTAAGCAACAAAGAGATAGCCAACCTATCAGATGCACAGTTCAAAACACTGGTGATCAGGATGCTCACAGAACTGTTTGATTTTAGTCACAAATCAGATGAACAAATGAAGGCTAAACTAAGTGAAATGAAGGGAAATGCACAGGGAACCAATAGTGATGGAAAGGAAACTGGGACTCAAATCAATGGAGTGGACCAGAAGGAAGAAACAACCAAACAGAAAAGGATGAAGAAACAAGAATTCAAAAAAATTAGGAGAGGCTTAGGAACCTCCAGGACATCTTGAAATGTTACAACATCCGAATTATAGGGGTACCAGAAGGGGAAGAGGAACAGCAACAAGTGGAAAACTTATTTGAACAAATAGTGAAGGAGAACTTCCCCACTTTGGCAAAGAAAATACACTTCCAGGAAGCTCAGAGAGTCCCAAAGAAGATGAACCCAAGAAGGAACACACCAAGGCACATCATAATTATATTACCCAAGATTAAAGTGAAGGAGAGAATCCTTGAAGCAGCAAGAGATAAGGGGACAGTTACCTACAAAGGAGTTCCCATCAGACTGTCAGCTGATTTCTCAAAAGAGACCTTCCAGGCAAGAAGGGGCTGGAAAGAAGTATTCCAAGTCATGAAAGGCAAGGACCTACATCCAAGATTGCTCTATCTAGTAAAGCTTTCATTTAGAATGGAAGGGCACATAAAGTGCTTCTCAGATAATGTCAAGTTCAAGGAGTTCATCATCACTAAGCCCTTATTTTATGAAATCTTAAAGGGACTTATCTAAGAAAAAGAAGATAAAAAACTTGTATACTAAAATGACAGTAAACTCACAATTACTAACAACCACACCCAAAATAAAAACAAACTAAGGAAACAACTAGAACAGAAACAGAACCACAGAAATGGAGATCACATGGAGGGTTAGCAACAGGGAAGTGGGAAAAGGAAGGGGGGAGGTAAGGTACAGAGAATAAGTAGCATAGATGGCAGGTAGAAAATAGACAGGGAGAGGGCAAGAATAGTATGGGCAATGTAAAAACTAAAGAACTTAAGACACATGGACATGAACTAAAGGAGGGGAATGAAGGAGGGGAATGAAGGAGGGGAATGGGACAACTGTAATAACAATCAATAAAATATATTAAAAAATACAAAAAAAAAAAAAAAAAAGGAAACCTGCTTTTTGTCTTGGTGGAGCACACTTTCAGTTTCCACCCGAGGCTCTGCCTCCTGGGTTTGCAAACTGTTCAGCGGAATAAAGTCTCTTAGTTGAATAACAAATAAATAAATAAAATAAAATAGAAAATTCAGTTACTCAGTACTCAATAACTGTATGTAGTCAGCAGGTACCAAACTGGATGGTGGTAATAAAGCACATTCCATCATTACAGAAAGTTCTATTGGATATCACTGTTCTACAGTATGCAATAAAGTATTAAATAGGTAAGAAGCACCAGTATTTTGAAGCAGAAAATAGAAACGCAACCCAGGTATCATGTAACTCCTGATATACTGTGGAACCATTTCACCAGCTAAGAGTTTTGTGGCCCTTCCATATCCTTCCCACCTCAACCTCCCACCAAATGAGTCTCAACTTAGGTATCTAGAATTAACTATCAGTTTCAGGAAATATCCCAGGAAATACTGGGATATAACAGCCTATTAAATGACACCAGAAGCTGCGATTAGCAAAATGTAAAATATAGAAAATCTTATATGACAAAATAATTTAGTTTCCTCAATAAATAAACGGCAAGGAGAGAAAAAAAGAAAGGAAGAAAAGGAAGGACTTAAAGATTAGAGGAGACTCAAGAGATATCAATCAAACCCATTTTGTGGACTTGGGTGAATCCTGATTTAAAGCAATTATTTAAAAAAAATTTGAGTAAGTAGGTTGAACACTAGAGAGTCGATGACATTAAGAAAGTACTGACTTCAAAAAATATATATAATAAAATAATGTGTTACAATATATAATAAATACATACACAAACACAATGTTGGTACTGCAGTTATATTTAAGAAAATTCAAGATACATGAAGCATTACCAAAGAAATATTATATTATGATATCTGGTCTAGATTCGTTTTACATTATTTATCACACTGAAAAATAATTTACATAGATCTTTCCTATTATACTGTAAATCTCCAGGGGAGCCAGACTTTTTAAAAGTAATCTTGTTATGTTTACTTAATATATGGAAAATGACTAATAAATGCTTGTTAAATGCCGCCACTATGAAAGGGTTTCTTTCCATACACGTTTTTCTTTTACTATCACCTTTTCTTCTTCTCATGTCTTAAAGCCAACATACAGCACAAACACTACTAGGCCCTGTGGTTGGTCTCTCGGTTAGAAATACTAACTCTGAACCACAGAAATAGCCGATCATATGATCCAGTATCATACAACATTGGAACATCTTTAAAAACCTAGACAAGCCATGTTACTTCGAGAGTCAGGTAGATATCAAAACCAATGCTTATACACTGGAAAATTATGCCAATTATATCTACTTACTATTAAACATATTAATATTATATATTAATCTAAAAATTACTACAATCATATTATATATACATATACATATACATATACATGAGGAAAATAATCTGCTTGGAATTTTATTCTGTCCCCAAAGCACTAATATTTTCAAGCCTATCATATTCCCAAGATGAAATAGAAAACCTAAATTACCATATTAAAATGTATAATATTAGAGGACTTTATTTGATATGACCAACAATTTGAAACAGCTTCTTATTAAAAGCCTCTAAAAGTCAGTATGAAAGAAAACCCCATACCATCACTGCCATATGACTAACTTAAATCAAAAACCAGATTCTGGATTGAGAAATGCAATCAGTGACCAAAAAAACACTCCGGAAAACAAACAACCTGTCTGCTTAGAACAGGGGTAGGTGAACTCTAGCCTGCAAGCTAAATCCAGCTGCTGCCTGTTTTTGTAAAGTCAAGTCTGTGTTCCCAACATAATTTAAGTTTTTTACACAAAGAACTCTATATTCTCTAAGTTTTTCCTATACTATTCTTATTGAAACTTGAGAATAATAAGTGGCTTAAGTAATGAACTCTGTGTCCTTAACTTTTGCTTTCCTGAATCACAATACAATTACTGAAAGGTAATAAACTATTCATATACTTGCAAAAGAAAACAAAAAGCCAGCCACACATAGCAGTCTACCAAGAACAATTTTATTTTAGGAAACAACATCTGTCAAATTAATCTGAACTTGAGTTTCACTGGTTTTATAGTTCTCTTGGTTTGATTGTATAGTTGTATAAAAGCATAAGGTTTATAGCTGGTTTATGTTTGAACATATTTAAATAAATTATAATGAATATAATCTAAATCAACACTGGAATTTGTGGGGCTTTTTTCCCTTTAAAGGGACTACAAATATTGTTAAAGTCTTGAAACACCCCTCATCATTTATAAATACAAAATATAATTTCCCAATCTTAAAAAAAAAGACAGAGAACTTTCACTTCTAACAACGACATTGTAGGTTATGTACATTCTTCTGTATTTATGGTATTTTTAATTAATAAATTTCAAGGGGATGTTTAAAAAGTGAAACAAGAAGAAACAGATCATGATTTGGATTACATCTGGCAAAGAAAACCATTTGGAAATATTTTTGGGACAACTGGCAAATTTCAATATGGAATGGATAACATATAAGGAATTTCAAGAGTCTACAAAAATGATAGAAATCACTGGCTGAAAGGCACTCAAAATGTTGAATCTAAATCTAGTACTTGAATCCCTTCTGTAATAGTGGTTGTGTTCCCCATCCGGTGATAGGAAATTTCCTACCCCCCTCGAGTAGCCTATAATCAAGCGTTTAAGAGGTTCTTGATGAACAATGAGGTTAAAAATAATAATACAGAATTTAAAATAAGTGAGACTGAATAAAAATAGCAGTGGAGTTACTTAATAATTACTGTTCTCTAGTCTCCTTGCTGAGAAGAGAAAATCTTGACATAACTTCTGAAACCTGGAACTGTGTTATATGTCTAGATTAGTTAAAATAAAACAAATAAACCTATAAATAGGAATATTCCTGATACGCATTTCAGAAGAGATTCTCTTGTTAAATGTACAGATACCCAGTATTTACTAGAGTATATTTCCACAAATCTTTCAAAATTGAAAACTCCTGCTAACTTATTCCCTAATAAACACACAAAGCATATCCTGTTCAACTGTTACCCCAAAATAAATGCACTCACCTCCTGTGCATCTCTTGCCGCCTTTGCATCATCCTCATTATAGCGGTTACAGTTGTACCTTAAAGTAAAGTAAGAGGATTCCATAAAGCCATAAATCAGTGAAAAGAGAACCAATCATAGAATGTTAGCCTGGATTTAGAGATAATCTAGAACCAATATTCTGCTTTGTACAGATAAAATGAAGTTAAAATAAGCAGGGTTCTATCAGTATAATGATAGTTTACCATACTGAAAGGCACTCAGTGTTGTTAAACCTAATCCACACCTAGTGCTCGCATCCTCTCTGTAAGAGAGTATCAGTCCTCTATTCAGCAATAGGGAATTTCCCACTTTCTAACTTAGTCCATTCCAAATCAGTTCACCTATACTCATTAGAAAACACTGTCATTCTAGAACTTCCATTTACTGACTATAGTTTGAACTTCTAATTCAACTTTTGAAGAAAGAGATCATCTGATGTCCTAGGTTGACTGTTATTTAAGGTCAACTATTCCCAATTTTCCCACAGTTACTCACCTTCTTATCTTTTCTTTTATAAACCAATGAATCAATGATTGATGGACTATTATATAATATTGGGTTTGCCAAAAAGTCCATTTAGTGTTTTCCATAAAATGAAAGACATATTTCTCATTTTCACCAATAACTATATTGATTTGGATATTGTGAGTATGTCAGCTATCTCCCGTGTGGTATATTGTTGGTGTCAATTAATGTCTTGATTTGATCACTATCAACTTCAACTGATCTACCCTACTACAGAGCATTGTCCGGCAAGAAATCTCTAGTATGCAGCTTCGCAAACTACTTTCTACATGTTCAATTAGTCACAGCACCCTCTCCACACACTGAACAAGTTTTTTTTTGCGTTTCAGTTGTGTTTTCACCTTTTTTGAAATAATAAAGCATAATAAGCCAAAAATGTTGCTTATTTTCTTCCATCTTCAATACCAAAATGGCTACACAAAAATTTACCAATTTTGTTAAGTTTTTAAAAAATGTACACTGATCTGACAGCTGTTACAACATAGTCTAACAAAACTGTTTTAAATGAAGTTAAAGACAAACTAAGTGCTACTAGAGCCATCTTATAAAAAAACCCAACAAACTTTTTGGTCAACCCAACAGATGCTATGCTACGTGCTCTACACACTACTTTAGTTTACAAGAGTCACTCAAAACTGAGCGATATACTAAGTGAGGAGCTGGGAGAAACCTGCCCGGAGAAGTCAGTTCAGAGTGGAGATGAATGAGACTGGCACTTCCCGTCCTCACTCTCTACTTCTTCTTTTATGGTAGCCTAATTATGGAAGCAGCTGGTATTTACTGAGTACTTACTATACATACTCACTTACTGACTTCTTTAAGTATACTATCACATTTAATCTCCTCAACCATCTTATGAAATGTGTATTATTATTATCCTCATTGAGCAGATGAAGAACTAGGTTTCGAGGTTAAAAAACTAGGGTTTCAGAGCTGGGGATTAAACTCATGCTTATCTCCCAAATGAAGTCCCTGCTCTTACTTAACCAGTGAGCACACTGTTCACAAGCTGATGTCTCCAGAATCTCTTAACAGTGATCTTTGTAAAACTAACAAGGAATTTCAAATTTAAATCCTGTTAAACTGGACCATTGTTTCAGCTTGTCAAGTTCTTTAGGATTTTAATGATCTACATAGTCAGTATTTCTCTTTGATATTACTTACAATGTATGTAAGATTCTTATATTAGGTCAAGAACAGCATCAATAAAACTGACCAGAAAAGCAGTATACAGTGTTTATGGGGTGGGACAGGGAATAAAAGATAAAGACAAAGCCTTTAAGCAAACCAATAAAGCATCCAATACTGTTAGTAAGACACAAATTCATTATCTGTATGTACTCCAATAAATTATTCAATTAATCGAAAATATACCTCCCCCCTCTGTATTCACAACCTAGGTCATAAATGTCTTAGTCCACATTGAAATACCTTGCTGAGATCTGTAAAACATTCCCTAATCCATCTTCCTAACATCATCACTGGACTCTAGGATTTCATATAAGAGAAAAATTAAGCTATGTGGATCATATATAGTTTGTGGAATCACAAAATTTAGAAATATATTTTGTCTGTTTCCAGTCGTTGATGCCTCTTTACTTTCAAAAAATTACTCAGAAATAATCAACAATGACTTACTAATCTCATCTTCAAGCTTTTAAAAAAACCCAGACTACAATTCTTCCAGGTCAGGAGATTAATTTAATTTCCCCCAAACTTGGGTTATAATCCTCTTTTACCAAGTTACTCTACTCAGTTTAACCCAAAGATGACCCCTCCTTGTCCTCTACTGGTCAAATATTAACAACTCTTCTTATCTGATAATTCTTAAAATATTTCCTTTTGATTTTTTTTTTTTAGATATTTATAAGCCTCAAATCATTCTGGCCTTTACTCTGCTAACATTTAAATCAAGACTTTTAAAGAAGAAAAGCAAATAGGACTCATCTGTACTTCTAATTCAGGTGACTGATAGTGTTACTTGGAATGCTATTTTGAAGATTCTGGGGCATTTTCAGATTTAAATAAGAAGCAGATTCAAGTCACAGGCAACATTTCTGACATCCCTGATCTAGGCCACTGTTCATTCTTTTGTATCTACCATTTGTTTTGTATCCTTTTCAGTTTTCAATATAGCTCCTTTAAGATTTAAGTTGTGATCACAGATTACCTTACACACAAAAATCTAACTCTTCTGCATTCCCTCCCCCCTTCACGTGGCTTGTTTAAATATAGTAGAGTGAATTTAGTTTCTGGGAACACTCTAATACTGCAGTTTGCCTTCGTAAAATCTAGAGGATCTGTCCAGCTAAAACCCAAAACACCCTTTCTTGGATCTGACAGTGGCAAAATCACTTTCTTTACTTCCAACTAGTTTTTACCTGTCTCAGAATTAATTTTAGACAAGTAATCCCTCATATTATTCCTCTAGCTAATGAAACTAATGAAAGTTCCAACAAAACAAAAAGGGAAGACTAGCCACTTTTTAAGTTCAGATCTTCCTTATCTTGTTTTGAACCTGCAATTTACTAACCTCCTACCCACTCTCTACAAAGCAGCCACAATTATGGGACAATGTATATAAAGTATAAACAAAAACAACCTTCTTGTCATCTAAGTAACAGATCTAATCATGTCACTCACTTAAAATCCTTCTGATAATGTCCAAACTACTGTAGGTCTCAGTCTATGTTCTCTGTTTCTATTCCCCACAACTTAGGAGGGCCCACAAACTCAAAGGCCAATAGGGCACAGGCAAGTAACTCAAATCAGTAAAACAGGCCATTTGCAGATAATAACACACAGAAATATTATCACCTTTACTAAGAGATGTGCTAGCTCTGATTTTCCTCAAAATTCAAGGCATCATCAGTCTAATTTGCATTTTCCCTAATGGATAAGAAATACGCATTGAGCACAGGTATATATTTTACTAAATGGGATTAGTACCATCATGACATATGCAAATGCCATTAAGTTTCAGTCTTTGGGGGAACATAACTAGAAAGGAAAGGTTAGTAATCAATTCCAGGTGATTGCTGCCAAGAAAAAATGCAGGTCTGTTCCTATGTTTCAAAGGGAAACTAAAAATCTGGACTGCACTGGGTAATTTTCCAATTATCAAAATTTGGGACAAATTTTTGTCAAATGATGGAGAGGGTAAGTAAAACACAACTGCATGCTGGGTTTTGTCTACTGCCTAGAGAGACATATTAGACAATGCAACTCTTCTCTGAATAAGTCATATACATTCACATCATTCTACCTTTGTTCATGCTGCTCCTTTTGCCCTGTATGTTTTTCCCAACACTTTTTCAACCAGTGAACTCTTAGTCCTCGTCTGTGAAATATTCCCAAGTAATCCCTCTCTATCGATATCTTGCATATATACATCTAACACTAATCACACAGTACTTATTTAGCAAGCTCCCAAGATAAAAGGTGATTTCCATGAGACAGAAACCTTACTCAAAATATGCGGCACATTATCACATACTTTTGTGAACATATTCTTCCCTTCATTTCCATTTCCCCAACCTACCAGGCAGATCCATGTGGTTCCCAAGGGCCAAGACACACCCAGCAAAACTCTGCTTTACAGTTCTGGTTACGACAGACCATGTGATTACAACCGCCATCCTTCTCAATTGTGACATGGCATTTGGGACATTCCTATGAAGAGAAACTATAAAGTTGGTGTCAATGCTACACTAGATTGTATTACTACCACTGAGGAGAAGCCAATTCTCGATTTGGTTTATTTTAAAATACCACATTCACTGTCATTAATACATATAAAGCACTTAGAACAGTGTCAAGTTCTTAATAAGTACTACCAAAAATGAGCCACTGTCATTACTACTGGCTTTTGAAATGTACAATTTAAGGATTTTTTTTTTTAGTAGGGCTGGGGGACAAGAATACTTTTAAGTACTTTTAGCCATGCATATAGTAATAATACTTTACTCATGAAGGTAAAATATCTTGTTCATGTAAATATAATAATTGAAGTCATCTAAAAATGATTAATGGTTACTTCCTATATTTCACACTGTTCTCAGTGTTTTAGATGCATTAATTTATAATCTTTATAGTACACCTATTCCTATTTCCACTTTTCAGATGAATAAACTAAGGGAGAGGAAATTTAGAAAAATTAGTCCACAGTCACAAAGGTAGCAAAGGGTAGAGTAGGGATTCAAATCCAAGCAATTTGGCCTCAAGATTCAGGAAAGTGAGACTGGTAAATTCTTTTTGTGGATTCTGAGTTTCCCAAATTCCTTCTGCCAAATTCCTTCTTCCTTTTTATTTACATATTTTTATTTATAGAATTTAGAGGGAGAGACAAAGGAAGATGGGGTGGGAAGAGCGAGAAACATCAATTTGTTGTTCCACTTATTTATGCTATTCATTGGTTGATTCTTGTATGCGCACCATAACTGAGGGTGGGCCACCTTGGTGTGTCCAATGCAAGTGCACTGTCCCGATACACTGTATCAGGACAACGCTCTAACCAACTAAGTTACCTGACCAGGCCTAAATACCTTTGTTTTAAATTCTTCTCATTGTGGTTCATGTGCACCTGTGCTACAGAGAACAGGATTCCCCACTCTCCCATCTGTATCATTTTCTTGGTTACTAGTGAGGCAAAGTTACTACACTGCAGGCCAATTGTTTTTCTCTTTTGAAAAACCTCAAAAAAATCAAACTTACTCATTATTTTTAATAAAATGATGAGATAGAAAGCTTGTTTTTGCTGTATCTGTGTTTGATGTCTGTAACCACCACAAGGGAGAAGTAGTACCCATTATATTATTTGCACAAATAAGCCTACACTACAATGCCCATAAACCACAGTAATTTTAAATAGGTCAATATGGTGATTTTTAAAAGTTATCTATCTATCTATCTATCTATCTATCTATCTATCTATCTATCTATCTATCTATCTATCTATCGAAGGGAAGGAGAGAGGGAGAGAAATATCAGTGTATGGTTGCCTCTCATGTGTCCCCTGCTGGGAACTGGCCTGCAACCCAGGCACGTACCCTGGCTGGGAATCGAACTGTGATCTTTTGGTTTGTAGGCCTGTGCTCAATCCACTGAGCTACACAAGCCAGGGCCTAATATGGTGATTTTAATTATACATTTTAAATCAAAATTTTTTTAAGTGACATGCATAAGAAATTTTACCTTTTCTCAAAGAAGTGAGTTCCAGACCTAAAATATCTGTTTTACTCTACACTTCTTGATAATTAACCGAATAGTATTAAGCTCTCAATAAGTTAGGATACCATCAATAATCTGCAAATCGGTTTAAGGAACTAATAACAATAATGAACAAAAAGTTTCTGAAACCACTCAAGAGAAAAAGTCTTCAGTCTCACCTTAAAACTAACAAATAGACAACTTTTTTATTAAAAATTGCCATTTTCCTCAATAATCTACTTTCTAGACAAAGTCAAACATTTTAAGATTGTATTCCCTATTTTAAACATCTTTGAGGTTTAGAGTAGCTGTGATTTCTCTAGATGCATAAAGAGAATGAGAGTTTAATCAAACTACTTTGTGAAAACAGAGCTGCCCTATTCTAAATACTAGTTTTACAAAACATATTTAAGATTCTGGTGGAGAAATCTTCAATTTTCAAAAAAGGCCAGGCTAGGAATTTTTCTCAAACAAAAGTAAACATACTTCCTGACATTACAGCAAGGTTTTTATGAGTGACATGACTATGTTTATCATATCATGATGGATTTAGAGAGCACAAAAATATTTCAACCATATATTCCTCAAAACTGTGGGCATTGTACTATGTGGTAAGACTCACTGTTTCCCTGCTAATGCTTTCTGAAAAACAGAAATAAATACGTATTTTTTAATTTTGAGGGGTAGAGGAGGGTACTGACAGTGTAAAATCGTGTGTTAGTCTTCATCATTCAAGAACTCCACATTCTTTCTGTCTTGTGATTGAGTGATGGAACAGCACAAAGCTATAACTAACACTGGTCAAACAATTCTATTATTTAAAAAGAATAAATAAAGCATCATCTTCACACATGAAGAACTAAAAACGAATGGCCCAATAGTAACCCTATCATTCATCACCCAAGTCACTTCTTATTTGGATGGGATAGAAGATTGAATTGAATAAAAAACTGGATATTTGTACAATTATCTATTAAGAAACTGAGTGATATATACTGGGATTCTAACGCTTGTCATTACTCAGTGATAGACAAGGGTGTTTAAGACTGCTTTCATCAGGAGAATTTTATCTAATGTTAAAGAAGTGGTTCAGGACTGTAAAGAAACTGAATTTTAAAACTCATATTTTAAGTAATGCCATTCAAAAATACAACAAAAACCAAAGTATACCCATATTACCCCCAAACTTCTATTTCTCAGAACCAAATCTCTTAACAAATCATATTATATAAGTTTAGCATGCTAAAGACGTTACATGATAAAAAAAAATTACTCATTTACTCTGATTGATTGAATGGTGCCCTAAAATCTCTTAAAAGTTAAATGCAGAAATGCTAATTAGCCCAATAAAACCAAGCTAGGTGGAGCAAACCAACACTTGTATACTAAAGGCAGCCAAGGACAATACAGGCATTATAGCAAACATCAGGGTAGAAAAATTATCAGCCTTGTCTTCTAGAGAAAAGTAATGCTTTCCAATAAAAGAAAATTTCTTAAGTACAGCAACGTGCATATTACAGTATACTACTCTGTAAAACAAACTCAAATGCTAAACTAAAGAGAAATTATTAATAGGCGATCATTCTAGATAAAAATGAAAGCACACCTTACTTAACCAGGTAAATTTACTACTTTTGCTAATGTTGATGTATCTGTCCTTATCAGCTCTCATTACCACAGTTTATCAAAGAAAAACACCAACCTTTGTGTTGGCTGCAATCCAATTAGAGGTTTCACTGTCATCGTCACACTTTTTAATCCATTTCTTCAACCACTGTTTGGGAAAAAAAAACCCACAACTGTTAGGGTATAACAAAAGATTTAAGAAATAAGAAAAGCAAATTACTTCAATATGTAAATTCACTCAAGCTTAAATAGAAAAGCCAAACGACAAGATTATCACTAGATTTACTTCCTTTCAAATCAAGGAAATCCTGCAGGCCCCCTGTCCAGTACATACAAAAATCAACCAAAGGAGGACTTTCTCTGGCTGAAGTGAGTGGAGAATCTACCACCTGACTAGAATTCCAGCTCCAAGCTATGTCATTGTCCTTAGACCATTACAAAGCCTACTGAGCAAGGTGCCTTAACCGTGATGATCCTGATAGTATCAGGAGCTGACTTATTCCTAAGGAATGTTCTCTAAATACTGGCAATGATCATCTGAAATAAAAAAGATAAAATAAAATCTTTTATCTACTAAAGGAAAAGTAACAAAATTGTGGGCTGTAATTTTCAGTCACCAAGTCTTAGAAGTGCTCTTCATTATTCAAAAATGAAAATGTCAGACAAACTTACCTTACATTTAACTGGATCATGCCAATTTTCTCCACAGTTGAAGCTGTTAAGTGACATAAGAGTGAAAAAGAATTCAGTCCTGCCTACTATGAAGTATGCAAACAAACATTTATAGTTCCTCAGTGTTATCACCAGTGTCTAGTGGCTGGTAAATACAAAGACAGAAACCATGTCTATTTTATTCTACAGTGAATTATTTAGAATTTAGTATTATGATCAGTGTGCAATGGGTGTGTGTATGTGTGTGTGTGAATGAAAAATGACTATAAGCATGAAGATATGCTTAGATGACAATTTCATAACAAATGATTATCTAAACAGTTATAAAACTAGTTAGATCTGTATTTTTTCTGATAGTTTTAAGATTGTTCCTTAATATAACCACTCTCTAATTAAAGCATAGCTGAAACCATTAGCTGAAGCATTGCTTGTCACTAATTTGAACTTAAATTTCAATCATGCTTCATTAGAATATATTAAATATTTAATTTACACTCTAAATAAAGAGTAAAAGTCTAACTTTGTAGGGTCCTATATGATTCAGTACTAATGTGCAGTCAGCAATGCATGGGAAACAAAACAGGCCACGTCTTTGCATGATCCAAATGAATCTCAGTCTAGTAGAGATAAACTATATCGAACAAGGTCTGCAACAAAAGTGTGACTAAATATTTTCTAAGAACATAGTAATTGCTAATGCCTTTCTGTTTTCTAGGCAAATGGTATATTTATTTGTGAAAAACGTATAAATTAAGGATAAACACAAATTTCATGAAAAAGTAACCAAGGAATGGCTAATAAATTAGCTAATCAAGTAATCTAGGAATGCCAAAAATCCTTTACAAATGAGAGTAACAAAGTGCTATTAATTTAAATAAATTCAGGATAATGGTTACTTCTGAAAAAGATGGTAAAGAATGGGATGGAGAAGGAAACCAAGGGGTTTCAATCATGTCTGTCATGTTTTATTGCTTAATAAAAACTAACACCTGGCTGGTATAGCTCAGTGGATTGAGCACGGGCCTGCGAACCAAAAGATCACAGTTTGATTCCCAGTCAGGGCACGTGCCTGGGTTGCAGGCCAGTTCCTAGCAGGGGCTAGTTCTCAGTAGGGGACACATGACAGGCAACCATACATTGATATTTCTCTTCCTCTCTCTTTCCCTTCCCTTCTAAAGATAAATAAATAAAAATAATTTTAAAAACTAACAAAATGCTGATTTTGATTAAGCTGGGTTGCAGCTGAGTAAGCACTCATTTCTGTTATTCCTATACTTCGGTTTGTATTCAAAATATTTCATAGTAAAAATATATTTGAAAATAGATATGGGATCAGAATTCACTCCCTAACTACCTGGTAAATTTTGAAACAATAATGTATATTTAATAATTACCAAAACAGTATATATTTTACACATATTTAATGTCTGTGGGTTTACCTGCTTTTTTTGAAAATATTTAACATTAATGATGTATAATCCTAATTGACATGTAAGTCTAATATTAATGATGTGTAAGGCTTGACTGGCTTCTTGTTCCTAACAGATCCACAAAGGAATGGAAGATCATTTTAGCTCCCTAATATGTGATATTACTGGGAATTCCCTGGTAAGTTGCATTTAGAATTCAGAGGCTGAAGAATATGTAACAGAACTCCAAGAACTCATGTTATCAAGAAAGCTGGGGCCAGAGAGCCAAATCTAAATCAACCATATACTGTCTTTCCAAATTTACCTGTACAATTTTTTCCTAGAAGGAGGATTAAATTTGTCAGAGCAAAGGAAATTTTTAAGAACTCTAACTGTGCATTTTATTCCTAAGAGATAACTAACTTGAAAACAGAGCAAGAGCCATAAAGGAACCAAACAGAATTTGACAAAATGAGCAATCAGAGGAATTAAGATCTGTAAGTTTGCTCCCAATTAAGCTGTACTGCAGCACACGAGAAAATGTGATTATAACTGCACTTTTTCCCATAAAAAATATGTTACTTCAAGGTTAAAAAAAAAACAGGAAAGTTATTTTAGACGTGACTTTTAAATCTACTTCTTACTTAAAAGAAATACAGTTTTAATCATTATTTACCTGAGGTAAAATTTTTTTCTATTTTACTACTAAGAATAAATTTAAAAGCTGTGTGCATGATTCCAATGTAAGAAATTACTTGCTTACCAAAACTGGCGCCCACATTTGCAGCGAACAGGTTTAGCATCAGGATATTGTACTTTAACGACATGGTGGCAGTCTGGGGCAGGACACCACTTTAATAGTCGATTGCACTGAAACACAAGTTAGTAAATAAAAAACGACAGTAAATTGAATCACAATGCAAGATTTCCTAGCGCACCAAGTAATTATTTGTACTACTTCCCTAGTATAAGGGGCACAGGGGGATCAGTGACATAAGCATATAAAAACCTGCCACCAATACTTACTCTTCTACAGCAATGCTTATGGGTGCACTGCTTTGCTAAGATTATATAGGTCCCTTGAAAGGCTGGTTTTATAAAACACAAAGTCTGTCCAGAACGTATCCAGCCATGTACTATGAAAAAGAGATGTTCATTGAAAATATGAGAATCATTGTACACAAGACAATGACACATGAGTCTCCTTCCAAGTAGGCAGCTTGGGACCTCACACAGTTCTCCCAGTCACCGTCAGCTGCCCTGTTGTATTTTCCTGAATCTCATCAATGGTCTGAAATCTCTTTCCTTTCAAAGGTGGTTTTAGTTTAGGGAAAAGCCAGAAGCCACAGGGCACCAAATATGGGCTGGAGGGGGGCTGAGTCACCTGGATGATTTGATGCTTCGCCAAAAACTCTACATGAGACGGGATGCCATTAGTGGGCACATTTTTTGTGATGAAGCTGCCAATCACCAGTTGCTCACAGCTGCGGCCTCCTGAACCATCCTAATAGTTTTTGAGGAGGACTGTTCAAGCATAATGAAAAATTTGTAGAACAGATTCCTTATTCTACTCTCTCAGTCATTTTGAATGTGATGGCCACACGGTACACATGCTCACCCAATGGGGTCTACCACCCCCACTGACTAGTACAGTGAAGTCATCATTGTTCACTCATGCACATTCCAATCCACTCTCAACTGCCAGGTTTCATCGATGTTGTGCAAACCATTCTCATTATATTAACAATGGCTGGGCTTGTTCTGGACAGACCTAATACACGAAGTATCACTGAGAAATTTGAAATAGGACTTTTGTAACATTGCTATAAAATAAAACATGGCAAAACACTCTGCACCAGAAGTTTACTGACCATTAAAAAAAAAAAAAGAATATTCCTAAAATGCTATTCTCTACAAGATCTGACTGATAATCTAATCACCAACAGAAATAAAAATTACTAGAAAATAGTTTAACTCTAGAAAGAGTTAAAATACCTAGTTACACTGATGCTCCTAAACAGTGGCTGGCAAACTTCTTCCATGAAGAGCCAGGAAGTAAAGACTTTTGGCTTTGTGAGCCATAGTGGCTTCTCTAGTAACTACTCAACTCTGCCACTGTAGCACAAAAGTGATAGAGAACAAATGAGTACATTTAAGTATATCATTATTTTAGAAAAACAGGCATGCTATACTTGACAGACCTCTGTTCTAATAAAAGAAGGACATTCAATAAAAAACACATAACCAAAGCATTCTTTACTAACAAAGCTTACTGGTAATGGAAGCTAAAACAAGAAGAGATATATAGCAGAGTTGGAGTACCAAACATGATTAAACATGACATCAATAATACTTAGCTAAAATTTTCTTCTACAGATCAAGAGGTATAAAGGAAGAACACTATAAAAATAATTTTACTATCAAAGCTCAAGATGTAGCCCCGGCTGGTGTGGCTCAGTTAGAGCATAATTCCATATACCAAAAGGATGCGGGTTCAATTCCCAGTGAGGGCAGCACATGGGAAGACTGGCATCTCTCTCTGTGTCTCTGGCTCCCCACCCCACACCTCCTTCCCTCTCTGAAAACAATGAAAAGATGTCTTCAGGTGAAGATAAAACAAAAACAAAAACATACCCTCAAGATTTATAAAGAGACACCTAACTTACTGGTTTGTCACATTCCTTTGAGAAAAAAGGTGTTTTGGTGTGCTTCATAAATAAAGTCCATAACCCATGTGATGACAAAGGTGTCTCTTACTGTCCAGAGTATTTATGTAAAAAACTAATGTTTATTAATAAACATAATTTCTTTTATTTAAAAAGAAAAAGTTAAGAGAAATCACTTACCTCTACGAAGCTATTTGTTATTAAATGCTGATATTTTAATTTAACTTTTGAATCTGTGATTAGGCGCCTGAAAAGAAGAATAAAAATAGTTTATTAGGAAGTTTCAGCCCAAAGTATTTTCCATATTTATAAAATAAAACTTCAATGCAATGGCTATAAAACTGCCTTAAATTGAAAATACTAAAATGCACATAGACTATAAAAAAATGTTAACAGTAGTAATCCAAACAGTAATTCCAAAGTTACTGTAGTTTCACTTTGGGAGATGCTTCCACATTTCTTATATTCTAAATATTCTATTTTTTCCCAGATTGTATTATAATCTTGCGATTTACCAAGAACTGCCAAATTTAGGACTCTTCCAGAATTCTTTTGATCCTTGACATCTTGCCTTGAAACTATAATTCTCTGCCATCGTCTCTCAGGCTCCCTCCCAAAAATCAGTGTGTGAAATGTGAAATAAGAGATATTGACAGAAATGGTAAAAAATGAATCTAGGCTTTATTATAAATAGTTTTAAGGTCCTTCTTCAGATTTTTTTTTTGTTAATTTACCACAAATATTTACTGGCTGCAACCTGGCTTCTCTTGTCCACCTAGAAAACTCTATAATTCACAACAATTTCTAGAAAACACAGGAACCTATGAAAGTGAAGAACACTGAAGCTTAAGTTTCATTAGTTTTAATGGTAAAAACTATTGTGTGTGTTATAAGGAAATGTGTTATAAGCAGAAAAAGATGAAGCACTAACAAAGCCATTAAGAACTGTAAATCAAACAAGTATATAGCTCAACCTCATTAAAACCTTTTAAATGGACAAATGTTTGTAAAATACTGCGTCATCTAATTTCCAAGCTTGTTATCCCCCTGCTCTGCCACCCTGTCCTGTGCCAGTTTCAGTGTACACCTGTCACGTCTGTGTTTTTTCAAAACAGTAAGCACCATCCTTCCTCAGAGGAAATCTGCTAGGAAAGGAAATGGAAGAATATGATGATGGGAGGACCACCTAGATTTGAATACTGGCTTCAAAATTTACTAGCAATGAACTGAGGGTAAGTTCTTTGACCTCTACATTTTTCAGTTCACTAATCTGTCATACAGATAGCAAAAATAGACTTGTGAGACTAGAACAGTGCCTGGCAAATAGTAAGCACTCAATAAGTATTAAATGCTGCTATTTTTTTTTCTTCAAGGAGGCCTTTTCTGGCAATTCCTTATCCCCACTGTAGATATAGAACCACCCTCAGTTCTCATGGCACCTTATACAACTCTCCTTTATAGGGTTTGTCATAATTTTCATTAGATTGTTACTGTACAATAATGTGTTTAATATTGCCCTTCCTGCTCCCCTGTCCCCAACTAAACAGTGAGTTCCATGAAAAGATCCCTTGTGTCCTGGCACAGTGCTGGACCTGTAGAAAGCGTTCAATAAATATTTTTAAGTGACTAAACGTTCACATTTCACAGATGTTGAAACTGAGGTCCAAATACATTTGGTGATCCTCAAAAAGTTAAACACAGAATCACCCTACGATCTAGCAAGTCCATTTCTAGTACATATATCCAAGAGAATTTTAAAAGGGTGGTCAATGAAAAGCTTGCACACAGATGTTCATATAATAATATGAATGTTTCCACAAAAAGTGAAAATAACCCAAATATCCAAGAACTGATGAGTGGAAAAAATATGAAATATCCCTATAATGAAATATTATTTAGCCATAAAAAGAAATAAAGCATTGATACATGCTACAACATGAACCCTGAAAACATATTGATAGGTGATAGAAGCCAGAAACAAAAAATCACATTAAATACCTCATTTAAATACAATGCCAAGAATAAACAAATCTGTACAGACAGAAAATAGGTAAGTGGTTGTAAGGGCCTTGGGGAGGAGGGACTGGGGAAGGACTAATGGATATGGAATTTCTTTCTTTCCTTCTTTCTTTTTAAAGATTGTATTTATGGAACTTCTTTTGGGGATGGCAAAAATGTTCTGCAATTACACAGTGGTGATGGCTGCATGTTATGAATGTACTAAAAGCTGCTGAACTGTATACTTTAAACAGTTAAATGTGAACTATACATTAATTTTTAAAAAGTTAAGGAAAGAATTCCTCGGCGTGGCTGGCTGGGGCCAGGCTAGCTTGGGTGCCAGAAGCTGGCAGTGGCGGGCATCTGCTGAGCAACAGGAGCCTAAAGAAAGAGGAAGCAGCAGCAGCAGCAGCGGAGAGAACGCGGGGAAAAGGCCAGGAGTAAGGAAGGGTCTCCAAAGCCCGCGTCCTTCTACGGAGCGCTGGGTGGGCATGACCGGTGGGCAAGGTTTCAATGTAGCCGCCAAGATGGAGACGTAGATGGAGGATCCACCTCGCCTCTGTGCACAACCAAATCTAAGAACAACTATTTTTAACAGCAGTCACAACCAAGCCACACGGAAAATCGACAATACGGAGTCCAAAGGACAACTAGATACTCGGCTGGACCAGTACGAGGAGCGAGGCCAGCAGCGGAGCAGGTTAGCAAGAAAAAATTCCCGGGGCGGTGCGCGGGGCGCGCAGGCAACCGAGGGCACTGATCGCCAGCCAGCTGGCTGCCGGAGCGCACAGGCAAGAGGCGCGGCGATCGGTCGGTCGGTCGCGCGCATTTACGTGGGGAGAAGCCAGTGAGAAGGGAAGCCAGCGCGGGGCAGCAGGCTCGCGCAATTCCGATCGGATAAACCCCAGGCGTGCGGAGTGACTGGAAACGCTGGGCTAGCGGAGAGGAACGCCATTGCTCCCTCTCTGACCCCGCCCCCACACACAGCGTCACAAACCAGCGACCTGGGTCCCCCCGTCCTGGTAAACAACTAAGGCTTCACTCCGCTCACTTAACAGCGCGAACAGACCAAAAATGGCTCTAGGACAACTCAGAGCCCCAGAACCGATAGACCTAAGTGATGAAGAAATAGCCAGTCTTTCAGATGCACAGTTCAAAACACTGGTTATAAGGATCCTTACAGAACTGGTTGACTTTAGCCACAAATTAGAGAAACATATGGAAGCTAAATTAATTGAAATGAATGGGGATACAAAAGATTCCAATAGTAATGGAAAGAAAATTGGGACTCAAATCAAGGGAGAGAACCAGAAGGAAGAAAAAAATGGTCAAACAGAAAGGAATGAAGAAATAAGAATTCAGAAAAATGAGGAGAAGATTAGGAACCTCCAGGACATCTTTAAACGTTCCAACATCCGAATTATAGGGGTACCAGAAGGGGGAAAGGCACAACCACCAGTTGAAAAATTATTTGAACAAATAATAAAGGAGAATTTCCCCAAGATGGCAAAGGAAATAGACTTCCGAGAAATCCAGGAAGCTCAGAGAGTCCCAAAGAAGTTGGACTCAAGAAGGAACACACCAAGGCACATCATAATTACATTAGCCAAGATTAAAATGAAGGAGAGAATCTTAGAAGCAGCAAGAGCTAAGGGGACAGTCACCTACAAAGGAGTTCCCATCAGACTGTCAGCTGATTTCTCAAAAGAGACCTTACAGGCAAGAAGGGGCTGGAAAGAGGTATTCCAAGTCATGAAAACCAAAGATCTACAACCAAGATTGCTCTACCCAGCAAAACTTTCATTTAGAATGGAAGGACAGATAAAGTGCTTCTCAGATAAGACCAAATTCAAGGAGTTCATCATCACCAAGCCCTTATTATAGGAAATGTTAAAGGGACTTACCTAAGAAAAAGAAGATAAAAAAAGATGAACAGTGAAAGGACAGCAAACTCACAGTTATTAAGAACCACACCTAAAACAAAAGCAAACTAAGAGGATAGCTAGATCAGGAGCAGAACCATAGAAATGAAGATCTCAGGGAGGGTTAGCAATAGGGGAGTGGGAGGAGGGGAAGGGGGGGAGAAGGTACAGAAAATAAGTAGCATAGACAGTAGATAGAAAATACATAGGGGGAGGGTAAGAATAGTAGGGGGAAATACAGAATCTAAAGAAATTGAGACACATGTTCATGAACTAAAGGGGGAAATGGTGGGGGAGGGGTATGCAGGGTGGAGGGGAAGGGAGGGGGGAATAGAGCAAATGTAATGGCATAATCAATAAAAAAATAAAAATTAAAAAAAAAAATAAAATAAAAAATAAAAAAATAAAAAGTTAAGGAAAGAACCAGACTCACGGTCAAATGCTTTGATTTCCAAACAGGTCTTATACTTCTATTACTCATTAACACTTTTCTGATGTGATGAGCCCTAATGATTTCTTACAGCTGACTCTAGCCTAGGCATCTGTCTAAGCCTTGCTTTGCCCATCAGGACTGGTGAGAATAAGTCAGCTATAGGTCTATGGCCAAGGTTATTCTGTGGCCATTCAAAAAAGGGCAAATGTCACCCTGGCCATGTTAATAAGCTAATTCTCGACAAAGACCTGTTGCCATCACTATGTTGAAAGTAGTTATTGTACCAACTCTCAGAGGGAAGGCAGCTCTTTATAAAGATGGACAAAATAACTTCTACTGAATGTCTACTATATATTGAGTTCAGGGTCACATGCATTTAACCAACCTTGTATTTAGAGATAATTCTCCATGTTTACAACTGAGATAACTGGAGAGCTAGAATTTGAAACCAAGTGATTTTTTAAAAAAAGGATTTTTAAATTTTTATTGAATGTATTGGGGTGACATTGGTTAATAAAATTATACAGGTTTCAAGCATACAATACTATAATACACCATCTGTATGTTGTATTCCGTATTCACTACCCCAAGTCAAGTGTCAAGGATTTACTTCTTAGAATGCGAGGTACTAAACCATGTTTTCTCTGCTCGTGTGGCACCTTGAATAAATCAACATTATGCTTTAATTTAGGAGTAATAATAAAATATCTCTATTTTATAAGTTTTCCCTCAACATACCAATTGTAATCAAGCATAAAGAAGGAAATAAAAATCACCTGTAACTCTTATCACCCAAGAGGAATAACAATACTCAACATTTTTATGAATCTGGACTTTTCTCTCTTTTTTGTAAATGTATGGTATTTAAACCTTTGCTCAAATTTCTGATCATTA